GGGCTGTTTTGTGACCCAGTATATGATCTATCTTGGAGAATGTTCCATGTGCACTCGAGAAGAAAGTATATTCTGTTGCTTTGGGATGCAGAGTTCTAAATATATCTGTCAAGTCCATCTGATCCAATGTCTCATTCAGGGCCCTTGTTTCTTTATTGACCGTGTGTCTAGATGATCTATCCATTTCTGTAAGTGGGGTGTTAAAGTCCCCTGCAATTACCACATTCTTATCAATAAGGTTGCTTGTGTTTATGAGTAATTGTTTTATATATTTGGGCGCTCCGGTATTCGGCGCATAGACATTTATAATTGTTAGCTCTTCCTGATGGATAGACCCTGTCACTATTATATAATGTCCTTCTTCATCTCTTGTTACAGCCTTTAATTTAAAGTCTAGTTTGTCTGATATAAGTATGGCTACTCCAGCTTTCTTTTGGCTTCCAGTAGCATGATAAATAGTTCTCCATCCCCTCACTCTCAATCTAAAGGTGTCCTCAGGTCTAAAATGAGTCTCTTGTAGACAGCAAATAGATGGGTCTTGGTTTTTTATCCATTCTGATACCCTATGTCTTTTGGTTGGCGCATTTAATCCATTTACATTCAGTGTTATTATAGAAAGATATGGGTTTAGAGTCATTGTGATGTCTGTATGTTTTATGCTTGTAGTGACGTCTCTGGTACTTTGTCTCACAGGGTCCCCCTTAGGATCTCTTGTAGGGCTGGTTTAGTGGTGACAAATTCCTTCAGTTTTTGTTTGTTTGGGAAGACCTTTATCTCTCCTTCTATTCTAAATGACAGGCTTGCTGGATAAAGGATTCTCGGCTGCATATTTTTTCTGTCTAGCAAACTGAAAATCTCGTGCCAACTCTTTCTGGCCTGCCAAGTTTCAAAAGAGAGATCAGTCACGAGTCTTATAGGTCTCCCTTTATATGTGAGGGCACGTTTACCCCTTGCTGCTTTCAGAATTTTCTCTTTATCCTTGTATTTTGCCAGTTTCACTATGATATGTCGTGCAGAAGATCGATTCAAGTTACGTCTGAAGGGAGTTCTCTGTGCCTCTTGGATTTCAATGCCTTTTTCCTTCCCCACTTCAGGGAAGTTCTCAGCTATGATTTCTTCAAGTACCCCTTCAGCACCTTTCCCTCTCTCTTCCTCCTCTGGGATACCAATGATGCGTATATTATTTCTTTTTAGTGTATCACTTAGTTCTCTAATTTTCCCCTCATACTCCTGGATTTTTTTATCTCTCTTTTTCTCAGCTTCCTCTTTTTCCATAACTTTATCTTCTAGTTCACCTATTCTCTCCTCTGCCTCTTCAATCCGAGCTGTGGTGGTTTCCATTTTGTTATGCATTTCATTTAAAGCGTTTTTCAGCTCCTCGTGACTGTTCCTTAGTCCCTTGATCTCTGTAGCAAGAGATTCTCTGCTGTCAGCTATACTGTTTTCAAGCCCAGCGATTAATTTTATGACTATTATTCTAAATTCACTTTCTGTTATATTATTTAAATCCTTTTTGATCAGCTCATTAGCTGTTGTTATTTCCTGGAGATTCTTCTGAGGGGAATTCTTCCGCTTGGTCATTTTGGATAGTCCCTGGTGTGGTGAGGACCTGCAGGGCACTTCCCCTGTGCTGTGGTGTATAACTGGAGTTGGTGGGCGAAGCCGCAGTCAGACCTGATGTCTGCCCCCAGCCCACCGCTGGGGCCACAGTCAGACTGGTGCGTGCCTTCTCTTCCCCTCTCCTAGGGGCGGGATTCACTGTGGGGTGGGGTGGCCTGTCTGGGCTACTTGCACACTGCCAGGCTTGTGATGCTGGGGATCTGGCGTCTTAGCTGGGGTGGGTAGGCAAGGTGCACAGGGGCAGGAGGGGCAGGCTTAGCTTGCTTCTCCTTAGGTGATCCACTTCAGGAGGGGCCTTGTGGCAGCAGGAGGGAGTCAGATCCGCTGCCGGAGGTTTGGCTCCGCAGAAGCGCAGAGTTGGGTGTTTGCGCGGAGCGAGCAAGTTCCCTGGCAGGAACTGGTTCTCTTTGGGATTTTGGCTGGGGGATGGGCGGGGAAGATGGCGCTGGCGAGCGCCTTTGTTCCCCACCAAACTGAGCTCTGTCGTCCGGGGGCTCAGCAGCTTTCCTTCCCTTTGTCCTCCAGCCTTCCCGCTTTCTGAACAGAGCTGTTAACTTATGACCTCCCAGAAGGTAAGTCGCGCTTGCTGTCGGAACACAGTCCGTCAGGCCCCTCCGCTTTTTGCAAGCCAGACTTGGGGGCTCTGCTTGGCCGGCGAGCCGCCCCTCCGCCCCGGCTCCCTCCCGCCAGTCCGTGGAGCGCGCACCGCCTCGCCGCCCTTCCTACCCTCTTCCGTGGGCCTCTCGTCTGCGCTTGGCTCCGGCGACTCCATTCTGCTAATCCTCTGGTGGTTTTCTGGGTTATTTAGGCAGGTGTAGGTGGAATCTAAGTGATCAGCAGGACGCGCGGTGAGCCCAGCGTCCTCCTACGCCGCCATCTTCCCTCCTCCCCCAGATGACACATTTTTGTTGAATATGTATTTTTTTTTTGATTGGGCCACTAGTTTGAGTTTTCAAATTGATGTTTGTTTTTCCATTTTATTGTTTTAGCTTTTTTCCTTTTGTTCCTTGTTGCTTCCTTAGTGTTTTTATTCCTTGTTAATGTAGTAATTTTTATAGCTTTTATTTGTACAGGTCTAGGTCTCTGGGCAACTCTTTGGCATCAGTCCCTCTAGTAGGTGTTTGCAGATGTATTTTGTAAGCCACTGGGGCCATGTTTGCTTCAGTCCACATGTGTCACTGACTTTGGAATTCCATCCTGAGTGCTTTAAGGTCTGTGGTGCTTTCTAGTGTGCTGACCAGTTTTTCCAGTTTCTTTACTTTCAAATCTTGGGCAAACCCAGGAGTCTTTGTCAGCCTCTTTGAAAAGCATTTCAATAAAGTGCTTCGTGCTATTTTTTAAATCTTTACATAATTTAGTAGTTATTAGCTATTACAATTATTTTCCTAGACCAGTTTTATAAAATCAGTTTTTGTTCTTATAAATTAGCAGCTACCCATGGCAGCTAATTGAGAAAATAGTTATATAGAACCTCACAACTCTAAGTTACTTTGAATAGTGTTTTAATGTATTTCCTCCCCCTCCTTCATATATATAAATATCTACAGAACTCAGAGGGACATTAAAAATGCTTAAATATGGGGCACCTGGGGGGCTCAATCTGTTAAGCACCTGACTTTGGCTCAGGTCATGATCTCAGGGTTTGAGTTTGAGCCCTGCATCGGGCTCTCTGTCAGCATGGGGCCTGCTTGGGAGTCTCTGTCTCACCCCCTGCCTCTCTTTCCCTCCCCTGTTTGCACTCTCAAAAAAAATTTTTTTTATGTGTTTAAAAAGAGGTGGACAGCAGTCCTGAAGTCGGGACCAGGGCCCCTTACGCAAGGACTGTCTACCACCTTCTGTAAGAGCAGATAGATGCACACAGGCTGAAATAAACTTTTTTTTAAAAATTTTTTTAATGTTGGGGCGCCTGGGTGGCGCAGTCGGTTAAGCGTCCGACTTCAGCCAGGTCACGATCTCGCGGTCCGTGAGTTCGAGCCCCGCGTCGGGCTCTGGGCTGATGGCTCAGAGCCTGGAGCCTGTTTCTGATTCTGTGTCTCCCTCTCTCTCTGCCCCTCCCCCGTTCATGCTCTGTCTCTCTCTGTCCCCAAAATAATAAACGTTGAAAAAAAAAATTTTTTTTAATGTTTATTTAGAGAGAGAGAGTGAAACAGAGCTTGAGTGGGGGAGGGCCAGAGAGAGGGAGACACAGAATCTGAAGCAGGCTCCAGGCTCTGAGCTGTCAGCACAGAGCCCGACGAGGGGCTCGAATCACAAACCGTGAGAATGTGACCTGAGCCGAAGTTGGACGCCCAACTGACTGAGCCACCCAGGCGCCCCTGAAAAACTTTTCATTGGGAAATTTTTGTTATTGTTCAAAAACAATTTAACAGCTGCATACGTTGCATTATGGCTATATAATGATGTATCGGATCTTTGTACGCTTAGGTTAACAACCTATTTTTAACTTTTACAAATATTGTGATGAACAACATTGTACATAAGTCTGTTTCACACTTCTCATTGGGTTAAATTGTAGAAATTAAGGTGCTTGGGAGATGATGTCCAGTTCTCCAATATGGTTATACCAAGTTATACAGACACAGATAGATACTATCTGTGAATTGTAACATTTGTCCTTTTTAACATTGGGTTAAGTGTGTTTATCAGCTTGTATAAATACTACTAAGGATTTTAACACTTCTTAGTGTTCTTTACCTTTCCGATTTCACAGAGAAATCATTGTGTCAGAATTAACTTGATAGTATAGTATAGAAACTTGTTTTTCAATACATACAGATGGATTGATGGGAAAAATATACAGATTATCTTACAGCTGAAACATACCGTGATACTGTTAAACTTAGGAAACAAAAATATTTACTAAAAAGTTAACTTTGGCTAAAACAGATCTATAATCTGTATGTTGAAATGAAGCCCCCTATCTTAGAGATCAGGCTGATTCCAAATACAGTACTAGACATCTTAGTCACTTTAAGTCTTTCAGAAAAGGAGAGCAATAGTTGCTTAAGAATTACACAGAGCCAGGAACCATACTGATCTGGTTTTGACCTAGTGTATGTTGACCTGTCTTTTCCAGACCTGTCTCCTTCGGAACATGGGAGCATGATCCATGGGAGCAGGACTACTCTGTGGTCCATTTTTTAAAAACCAGCTCTTAGGGGCGCCTGGGTGGCGCAGTCGGTTAGGCATCCGACTTCAGCCAGGTCACGATCTCACGGTCCGTGAGTTCGAGCCCCGCGTCGGGCTCTGGGCTGATGGCTCGGAGCCTGGAGCCTGTTTCCGATTCTGTGTCTCCCTCTCTCTCTGCCCCTCCCCCGTTCATGCTCTGTCTCTCTCTGTCCCAAAAATAAATAAAAACGTTGGAAAAAAAAAATTAAAAAAAAACCCAGCTCTTAAAAATGTAGTGTTTAGCTACATCCTTGTATCACTGGGAACACTTATCTTTTTAGGTGGGTAGTTATAAGACAATACTAGAACAATTAAGTTGCCATAGACTGTCTCATGAGCATTTAATCTCCTTCTCAGGTGCCATTAAAGACCAAGAAAATACTTGTTTTCCCCCGTTACAAGCCTTCTCAATTTATGGTAATTTCACTCTCCAAGTAAGGTTTCCTGACTTTAAGATTTTAAGTGGAGGGGTACCTTTGGTGCCTCACTCGATTGGGCACCCGACTCCTGATTTTGGCTCAGGACGTGATCTCACACTTTGTGGGACTGAGCTCCATGTGGGGCTGTAGGCTGAGCAGGGAGCCTGATTTCCTTTCTCTCCTTTGGCCCCTCTCCCTCCTTGCTCACTAAAAAATAAAAATAAGAAAGTAAGTGAATTGGGCTCATTATATTGCTAATGCAACATGCTTTAAAAAAAAAGTACATTTGTTGACTTTGTTCATGACACTAAATGTGCCTTAATCAAAGTAAATCCCATTTGGCACATTTAGTTGAAGTTGATCTAATTCGCATTCCCCTCAAGTATCTGTCAACCCAGCAGTGTGCACTTAGCCGACTCAGGCTGCTATGGCAAATACTAGAGGCTGGGTGACTTAGCAAGACATTTCGCACAGTTCTGGAGACTGGGATGTCCAAGGTCAGCGTGCCAGCAGATTTGGTTCTTGGAAAGGGCCCACTTCCGGGGTTGCAGACAGTCTCTCCTCCTCAGTACACACTCAGGAGCCTTTCCACAGGCTGTGCATGCATGAAGAAGGAAAGGGAGAAGCTGGTCTTCCTCTTCTTACAAAGATACTAATCCCATCTTATATCCCATCTCCAAATACCATGACATTGGGGCCAGCGCTTCAAATTAGGAACTTTGGAGGACACAGCCCATGACATGTACCAAGTAGATATCAGTAAAAACTAGAAAATGACTTTTTATTAAATCAGCCAACTCATGATCTACTTTTTGCAGAGCATACAGTTTGCAAACCTGGCTGATGAACAGAATCACATACAGAACTTAAAGTGAAAATTAAATTACTGGGTCCCACCTTTAGGGATTCAGTAGATCTGGAATGGGATACAAAGCTGTATTTTTTTTTTTAAAAAAAAGCTTTCCAGATGATGCTCATGTTCAGCCAAGTTTAAGAAACACTGTTACAGGCATTGTGGCCTTATTTGGGGAACACAGATCAATATTCTCAACCTTAAAGTCTGGCATTAGTTGAAGGGTGGTAAATTGTTCAGATTACGCTAAGAATAAGGGGCCTTTTTCTTAGAAGAGGGACACGTTATTTGCAGCTCCACCAATTGAAACTACAGCTACATGCTACAAATTGGATTTTAAATTAAAAGCACAAGTTGATTCCCTTTGCATTCTGTGTTTCCCATACATCTGTTGTGTTTTTCCCCACAGAGGAGGAAGATGACCTCTTTGATGATCCTGTGCCGTTACCGCTAAGGCACAAGGTTCCATACCAGCTAACTCTTCACCCTGACGTGTATCTGATGACTGCAGCTTCCCCAAGCAAGCCTGAACAAGAGAGACAAAGCACAGGGTACAAAGAGAGTATGCACCCCTTTCCTTTGGCAAACTTTATAGAATGTGAAGAATCCAACAGCGAAGGTGAAGAAGAATTACAAACCCCAGCTTCATCTCAAGAAGACCTGGGTGCTCTCACACATCACCAGCAAAAGGCTGATGTAGAAGTACCACAGTGGGAAGTGTTCTTTAAAAGAAATGATGAAATCACAGATGACAGTTTGGAAAACCTCCCTTCTTCCACAGAGGCAGGGGGCTCTCAGTCGCCAAAGATTTTTAGTGACTCTGATGGAGAGTCAACTCACATCTCTTCCCAGAATTCTTCTCAGTCAACACACATATCCGAACAAGGGAGTCAAGGCTGGGACAGCCAATCGGACACTGTTTTGTTATCATCCCAAGAGAGAAACAGTGGGGATATTACCTTCTTGAACAAAGGTAGCTATAGACCAAGAATCAAAGAGAATATTCCTGCCTCTCAGATGGAACAAAATGTACTTTGCCCAAAGGATACTTATTCTGACTTGAAAAGCAGAAATCAAGATGCAAATATGGCTCCTAGTGTTGGAGAAATAACCACTCGAAGCAGTGGGAAACACATACCTGAGGAAAAAAGGCTACTAAATTTTAGCACCAATGCAGATTCCCAGAGCTCCTCTGATTTTGAAATTCCCTCCACACCAGAAGCTGAGCTACCTAAAGGAGAGCATTTACAGTATTTATATGAGAAGCTGGCAACAGGGGAGAATATAGTCACTGAAAAAAGAAAAAGCTCATTCTCAGATACTTAAAAATGAAAAACCTTGCATTCTAGAGCAACCAGTAGAAAACCTACACAAAGAGGTAATGGTCAGAATCATAATGGACACGTCAGAATGGAATATTTAAAAATGTTCATGTAACCTAAAACAAGGCAGTAAAGGGCAAAAAGAACAAAAAATAGAGGTAAAAAGCAGAAAATAAGGTAGAACTAAATCCAAACATCAATAATTACATTAAGTGAAAGTGGTCAACACACACCAGAAAAAACCCAGGGAAAGAAACAGAACGTTTTTATATGCTGTCTGTAAGAAACTCAATTCAAATGATGCAGGCAGGTTAAAAGTAAAGCCTGGAAAAATATATCTAAATACTTCCACTACTTAAAGCTGGAACGACTATATTACCATCAGACAAATTTCTCACAAAAGGTCCAGTTCACTAAGAAGACACAATCCTACATGTGTACGTTGCTGCAACAGCTTCAAAAGAGAGAAAGCAAAACCAAAGGAGAAACACTAATGCACAGTCGAGCTGGGAAATCTACCTGTTCCTCTATCGGTAATAGAATTAGCACACAGGAAGTGAGCAAGGCTATGGAAGAACTCCATGGCACCATTAACCAACTGCAACTGACACAGAACATTCCACCCAACAGAGAATGTTCTCAAGCGCCATGGCACATTCACCCTGATAGATGGCTGCATCCTGGGTCATAAAAACTCTTTAAAACAATCAGCCCCTTATTTATCTCAAAAGGTCACTTCTGAATGCTGGTTTGAACACAAAGGTAAAATGAAAAGGAGAGAAATTAGGACCCAAAAGAAAAGAATGAAATGGCAAAAGTGTGTGTTCTAGTTGTTGGATTTCCTTAAAGTCTGTCAATGGATTATGTTTTTATACAGCTATATATGTGGTTTAATAAAGTTCTATTAACAAATATTCATCAACACTTTGGGTATGCTGACATTTTATAGATTAAGGAAGCAAAGGCACAGATTTTCCTTAAAACAAATTTAAGTTGGAGTCTCTAAATCAATTTGCAGGTCAATTAAACCAACAATGATATGCATTATCACCCTGCTGCACTGACCCCTTCTTTCTAACGCCACAGATACTCCGAGTTTTTGATGAAGTATTCTCCAGACTGTGTGTGACTGGGGTAGAAATACAGTTATCCCATTTTACCCATCTCTCCTACGAGTTCTACAGCCTGAAAGCAAAGTGAATATAAAATCACTAAAGAGACCAGTAGAGATTACAGATCACTGAGTGTCCAGTCGTAACTACAACAGGCCTAATACACAACAGAGACTTCATTTTTAATCTGTAGTTCTAAAAATTACACTTCATTAATAAGTCATGTAATCAAATATAACTAATTTCACTGACACTAAAGACCTCATCTTAATAGTATAGTTTATAATCCAAGGTGGGGACTCAATACATGCCTGTAAACATCCTTCTGAATATATTAGCACTGTATAATCACATCATCCATTTAATATTACATACTGCCATATTTTGTTTTAGGAGAACCTGGCACAATAAATGCCAGGTGAATGAATTTAAGGGCTAAGAGCACCAGAACAGACTTTTGATTAAAAAAAAAAAAAATTGCAGGGATCACCAAAGACTACAAAAGTACAGGTTTACAGTACAGAAGTACAGCAGATACTTACATGTGGTGCTTACTCTGTGATGATAGTTCTTTTACACACTGGATATTAACTCCTTCAATGCTCATCACCACCTTTTGAGGCAGGTTAAGTTTATTCTTCCCACTCACAAATGAGGCTGAGGCACAGAGAGGTTAGTTCACATAGCTGAGAAGGAGTGAAGTCAGGACTGAAAATACAGGCAATTCAAGCTCGAGAGTCCATGCTCTTAGCCACTATGCAATAATGCCTCTCAAAAAGAGCACAGGTAGGGGTAGGCTACTACAGGTAGGGGTAGTGGCACAGGTAGGGGTAGTGGCTACTCAATTTTTACTCTAAGAACTGTAAAGTATAAAGGAAAAAGTGAAAACAAGTTTCAAAATGCCAAGATACATGACAGAAGAAATGCAGTGGCTAGCCACATTTGCCTGAGAGAGGAATCCAAGACTTACAGTTTGTTTAAACTAGCAGTACGAAATAGAGTCCAGTATAAATAGGTGGTTTACTGCCCCCGAGCCATGTGATCTTGGGTATGTTCATGTTACCTAACCAGTCCTGACCCCTTCCCTTTGCTGCGCTGTAGGGCTGGCAGCACCGGCCTCATGGGTTTATGAGACGCACAGGAACGCAGATAAAGGGCCTGAGACTTGCTCCAAGAATAGGAGCTTTAAGTCTAACATTCCCCTGTGGTTCCAGGCAGTGTTTACTTATGTGTGTAAGTAACCTGGTGACTCATAATGCTCAAAATATTTTAGAAGTATCCATCCACATTATGCTATGTAAAATTCTTTAATATTCAAATGGACCAACCATGACAATGATAAACTTTCTTAAAAGGCAAGTAACATTTAAAGTGATGGTATAACAACCTTTGGTTAATCTCAAAAGCAAGTAGTCAGGAATACATTGGTTATCTTTTTGCCCCTTTTATAGCTTACTGGTAAGGAAAATAAAATATTCAATAACAAAGCTAAACCACCATAAATAGAAAATCAAATGCCAAACTAAATTTATTTTGCTAAAGAAAATTGAACTGTAAAAAAAAAAAAAAAAGTGCAGTCTAGATTTTGCACATATGGGGGAAAAAAACCCTGAGATTACAACTGTATCACGATCCTCAAGTAGATCTTGAAAACAATGGTATTAATACAACTTGCAGAGTAGATTAACTTACGGTTTAAACTTCATGTAAACATGGCCGTTGAACATAGGCTTCATATTGAGAGAACAAATTCTGACAGCTTGAGAAACCAAAGAAGTTAAATGTTGACTTAAAATGGTTAAAAGCTCCTAACAGCCTCATGTAGAGAGTTTCTATTTTACTGATTAAGTTCAGCTTTGTAATCAGACAAGGGTAACACAGGGAACTAAAATCTCAAAGACCCATTAAATGTCTATTACTAAGGACAGTACAAAACAAGTTTTGTGAAAATAGCCATTCTTCCCTTTGCTGTCCTGTTTTACATTTTTTTACCACAAAAAGACAAGATCAAAAAACTGGACAGTAAAACATTAACTTTTTAAGAAGAATATTAGTTACATTTTTTAAACCTGTGAGAATCAGAATTCAAAGTAAGCTTGGCCATTGGGAGCACCTGTAAATCTGTGATGCTTTCTCACCACTGACACCATGTGACTATTTCCTCATAAAGAAAACATAAGAAATGGCACTAAGAAATGTATTTTTCCATGACACCTTCTGCAGATTTTGGTTAATACGCTGTGAGACTCCAAACATGTAAAGAATTTATCCCATATTATGAAAGAGCAAATCATGTGGTAGCAATATAATGTATAATAAGTGTAGCTTCTCCCAAAAAAGAGGTTAAGGATTAAGAAGGTATTTGAAGTGCTGGATTCTTGCCATCAGTGCAATTTTACTCAAACTTATTTTAGGTCAGTAAAGCAATGGGGCAATCAGCTTAGGTAAAATTTAATTAGGAATACTGAAAGCTAGATTTACTTGCTGCATTTACCTTCATGTTGGACACCATGATTACAAATCCCAAAATCACAGAGATGAAAACACAGTTGTTCCCAACTGAGGTTTTACTATGCAGAAAAACAGAAACAAAAACCAAACTGTATTCCATTTCAGTGTTCATGGTTCAAGTAAAAATGTTCTCATAATTCAGATACACACTGGCCAAGCCAAGTTTAGCTTTATCACATTTAAAAAATTCATGTATAAAAAATAAGTATCAGTTCAAAATATAGATTATTTCAAGAAGAGCTTGCGGGGAATATAAAAATAATTAAATTTGGTGGAAATGTTAAAACCGCCTGAAATTCAGAAGATGTAATATTCGTGTATTGTATGAAACACTGTTAGGTGCAGATGCACTCAGGAGTATCTTGTTTTACTGTTTCTGTTTAGACCAGGTATGCAACATGGACCTCTTAATTTGTGTTAAGAGGGGCCCTGAAAGTGCTCCATTTCCCCACTTCCAAGAAACCCTCCCGGTCCCAGTGCCCCACCCTTTCAAAGCAGCATAATGGCCATCCGTTCCAGAATTTTAGAGCTTTTTGGAAATTATTCTTTTACAAGGTTAAAAATCTTTTAAGAATTACTGATTCAGACATACATGCCTCATAACAGTCTGGTTTGCTTCAAAATATGAAATCAAGCTGTAATTAAACCTGTTTACATTGAATTTTAGACCTTAAATTTCTGTATCATTAAGATCCCAGTATTTTAATGAAAGTAGAAAATAGAGTATAATTCCATATCACCTATTTTTCTTAAATACAAGTACAGTGAGTAATTAACGGGAATGACAACATAACAAAAATAGCACTTGTATGTATTTGCCCAAATTAACTCTTTCTCTAAATTCAAGGTATATGGCAGGTTGAATATTTGATCTTAGTGATGGTTACGTTATCAGTTTAACGCTTAAACACTGAAGGAGGCATTTCTCTATTCACACAGACTTCTTATGTATGTATATGCTGATCTGTCAGTTTTCCTTTCATGTTTGGTGTCTAATCACTAAATACGTGTATTTTAAATTAGTCTCTGTGACCCTGTGTTCTCTTCAGAAGCATCAGTAATGCATTTGGCCAATAGTTTGAAACATGAATTGTAAATTAACATAGTATATAATCCTGATAATATGAAAAGAGTCCCAAATACTTTTTTTAAAGGTTAACATTAGAAAAAAACAAACTACAATCATCAGCTGTTTCCTGAAAATTCAGTTGAGGTAACCTCTGCAAGTCACAGCTCCACACTTGCACACAGTTCTGACCCTCTTTTTGGCTGGGCTGTGGTCAACAGAATCTGAAGATACATCTCCAGAACCTGAGTACACAGAAAAAGAAATACACAAGAAAAAGTTAAGACCATTCAGAATGAAGTTCAAATCTCTTATTAGTTTTAAATCAATGTGAATGTTCAGAGACAAATTATGAATTATCTTGAAAGGATGGTGTGGAGCTAGTAAGAGATAAAAGCATATGCTATTAGCCATACTTCCAAGAACAGTTTTGCGAAATGATGAAACTTAGTGGGAAAATCAGATACACATTCAATTTCATACATTATTTAAGGGCCATAAAGTCAGGCCAAATAGTAACAAACTATAATTAACACTTAGAAAAACAAAGGAAAGAAAAAAACATATGGTCCCACCAAAGCAAATAAAATTGATGTGTTTTTTTAAAAAAACCAAATCCAAGTAGGAATGGAATAATAAGTTCAGATGTGATTTAAATATTTTCAATCCTCTGAATATACATCTCTTTAAATTTTTTAATGCTTATTTATTTTTTAGAGAGAGACAGAGTGTGAGCAGGGGAAGGGCAGAGAGAGAGGAAGACACAGAATCTGAAGCATGCTCCAGGCTCTGAGCAGTCAGCACAGAGCCCGAAGCGGGGCTTGAACCCACAAACCGTGAGATCATGACCTAAGCAGGCTGGACACTTAAAAGAGCCACCCAGGCGCCCTGAATATACATCTCTTGGTAAATTTTCAGGAATGTATGCCTTACAATTTTAAAATACAAGTAGTATTGAGAAAAAATGTAGAACAAACTTTGATAATGGAAATTATGAAAAAAAGCAGGTGACAGCATGATGCTGAGAAAAGAGCATTACTCAGCTCAAGGTCAGGCAGATTTTAGTTTTACCTCTGGCAGAGTAGCTTTGTGACCTTGAGTAAAAAGACCAACTGTTATAGTCTCATTTTTTTCCTTCTTTAATATTGTTTGGTTCAGATGATCTAAGGTCTCTTCCTACTCTGATTACAGTCTTCATATGCAAATAACTGAAATCAATCAAACCTTACTTGAAAACCATACCTTTCATTTGATAATCAAAAGTGAGCTCTTCTCCAGCATTTATGGTTCTTGTGGAAAACAATGCTATTCGGGGAAGACGGGTGTCGAGATTATCAATGAAAACATTAAACACCTGAAGATTTGGGTCGCACTAAAAAGGAACATTAGAACCCATTTAAGTAAAAATGTAATGGACAGGCTCTTCTACATGCCATATGAAATATTTAATTCCCCAAACTATTATTTTTTAAGTTTCATTGGAAATTAAGTTGTTTACTGTTTAGAGGTCTCTGAGGCATTCAAATTTAAAAATACTATTTTCATTTACAGAAAATCTCAGACATACATTAACACTAGAAAAAATAATAAATCCACATACATTTACCCTGCAGTTCAACAATTAACATTTTCACCAATCCCATTTCATCTATCTCAACTTTTTAATTTTTCTGGAGAATTATAATGCAAGTTTTATATAACATTATCATTTCACCTGTACATAGTTCAGTAAGGCATAAAGAAAGAGAAAAACTGTATTTAAAAAATCAAATTAGCATTATACAACTCAAATTTCATACTGCATGGAGGTTTCATTGCCATAACTTCTGATTGGTTTTAATATTTTGAGATTTCTACATTAAGTTCTGGACTATGCAAGAAGAAAGAGCTAAGAAACCAAAATCATTGTTTTAAGTGCCCTTGAATAGAATACATCTATTTTGAGAGTATTTCAAATTTATCACTAAGAAAAAAATTAAAGTAAAAGTTTAAATCAGAAAACTAACAAGGAGTCAGAAGGTCTCTGACATTTCACTACTCAACATAAACTAGTTTCTTGGAATAAAACCCATCAAAAGCTTAGCATAGTCTACACTTCCTTATATGGTCAGGTATATAATACTCTCTGGAGACACATTTTCCTTGTAATCTATAAGATGGAGGAAACATCAATCTCACAAGCCTAATACTATTGTATTTAGAGTACAATTTAGAATTGTATTTTAGAATTTTAATTTACAATTGTAATTTAGGAAAATGGCCCTCAATACTTCAATACTCTATGAATTCTTAAATTCTGTAAATATGTTGACATATTTACATTTTAAGAAAATATAGCTATGTTTAGCTGCATATCCTAAAATTCAGCTGTTACCTTCTGTAAGAAACCTCTACAGTTGTATTTAATTCTTAACCTTGCTACCTCTTAATTCCTCTTCTACAAGAAGATAATACCTAAAGAGTTCTGGAAAGATTAAATGAACGTATGTAAAAACTCTTGCAAAATGCATGGTATTTGGTAGGCACCTCAATGGATTTTCCTAATATGGTAATAATACAATAATCTAACCAAAGAGGTCTCTGTATTACAATACTTTGGAAATATTAAAAGGCTAAGTCATTTAAAGATAATTATTCCTCAACTATGGAAAATCATTAAAAACAGTGTAATCACACTTACACTGTGATTCACAAAATGAGAGACATTTCCATATCGGGCTGCATCCACTGTGAATTCATCAGATTCATAATCCAGATCAAAGAGATATGTGATTCCTTTGTTGTCATATAACTGCCCCCGTCTTTCAGCTTCTTCACTGGTGATTACCTAAAAAGAAAAAACTATAGTATATTATATAGCTATTGTTGAACTAAAGAAACACTCATCCATAAAACTATTATTATTGTTTTAGTGCCTCCAGAGGTTTAAAAAGTAACAAGTCAATGTGTCATCAAAACATTCACATAAACTACTCTACACACAGAAGCAAAGACATGGGAAGCTAAGGGGAGATATGAGTGCAGGACAATCATGGCTGCTTAGGAATCAGGACAGCCCACAATCAACAAGGGGAGACAGTACTACGTTTATTCTCATTTATTCACATGTTCAAAAAGCTACCCAAATATAGCTTTCTATAGGACCTACCTGGAATGTAAAGGAAGAAATTTACAGTAAAAATGCTCTAAAAACTTATTTTTCCTGTAACTCATCTATGCAGTTAGTTACAAGGTGGAAATTTGTTACAAATACAGGAAAGAAGGTACGTTAAATTTGCAGTCAATTGTATGCAAAGTTTAGTTTTGCAGACCAGGTTGTTTTCATGAAATTCTGTGGATCAAAACCATCCTCTGCAGTTCTAAGAACACAGCTTTACCAGATGCTCAGCTTAAGAAACCAAAAATGTCTAAAGCAATTCATGGTGTCAACCAGATATAAATAACTACTGCATTCAGTAAGTCAAAACAGAGAAGAGTTTGATCATACAAGATCTAGTATCCTGAACAGTGATTTATAATAATCTGCTATTGTCTAAAAATTTAAGGATCAAAACAGGGCTCCAATATAATCTCAGAATTCTAGATGAATACAGATAATTATATGTGGCCTAATTCCATAGAACTTTTGCATTTTTCAAAATGTTTATTCATTTTTTGAGAGAGAGACAGAGCACAAGCAGGGGAAAGGGAGAGACAGAGAGAGGGAGACAAAGAATCTGAAGCAGGATCCAGGCTATCAGCACAGAGCCCAACAAGGGGCTTGAACCCACGAACCGCGAGATAACGACCTGAGCCCAAGTGAGATAGATGCTTAACCGACTGAGCCACCCAGGCGCCCCTCCACATAACTTCTAAAATGTTAGATTTGACAGCCCAAGATATGCGGTCACACTTGTATTTTTCTAGTCACAGATTAATATACCACTCAGTTTGAGGAAGTGTAGTACAGCAGCAAAGTGCACTCATTTTGGAGCCTTGGTTTTGAATCCTGGCCCCTCTTCACTACAATGGGACCTTGCTGAATTTTTCTGTGCCTGTTTCCTCAATGATAAAGAATGGACCTAACACTGCTACCTCAGAGTTACTCAAGGATTAATGAGTTAGCACGTAAGGTACTTAGAATAGTATGTGGTACATGGTAAATACTATTTTTTGTATATATACGTTATATGTAGAAAAATAAATTTGCTCGGGGGCAAATGTGTCGCTCATTCAGTTGAGCATCCTGATTTCAGCTCGGGTCATGATCTCAGGGTTGTGGGATTGAGCCCCACATCGGACTCTGCTCTGAGCGTGGAGCCTGTTTGGTTTCTCTCTCTCTCTCCCTCGCTTGCACTCTCTAAAAAATAAAAGTTAAAAAATAAATAAATACATAAATTTGCACAGTCAATGGTAATTTAGAGACAGTCTCTAGCTGAACTACAAAGAATTTGGATTTTTTCATGGATGCAATAAATGGTTTTATGTATTGCATTTTCTAACACTTGCTCAGAAAGCATGCCTACCCTATAGTACTTCTCATGTTGATACAGTAATTGAGTTCTGCCAACTACAGTTAATCATATTTAATCAAATGGATGAATTACAATCTAAAGGTTCCAAAGTCAGCATGCGTTTAGATCTGATTTTCTTCTTAGAACTTTTATGTCATTCTTCACTCACATGAGGAAGGGAAGCAAAAATAATATACAAACAGGGCAGGGGACAAAAACATGAGACTCTTAAATATGGAGAACAGAGGGTTACTGGAGGGGTGTCGAGAGGGTGGATGGACTAAAGGGGTAAGGGGCATTAAGGAATCTACTCCTGAAATCACTGTTGCACTATATGCTAACTAACCTGAATGTAAGGTAAAAAAACACATTAAACAAAAATTAACAAAAAAGAATGTTTACGTCATAATAGCTGCCGTATTTTACAAATGCCAGTTTCAATGACTATAAATGGGTGTTTGTTGAAAACAAGACCATTTCATTTATAATTATATGTATTTTTTTGTTCATATACAAGTTTATATTTCTAACTATGCCAGTGAAACCTTTTTCCCAAGCCAGAAATTTCTACATACTTGCAAACGATAATATAAATATGTACCAATATCTGTTACTGATGTACAATGTTAACTTTTCAAAAAGCATAAACCTCCCACACACATTATTTGTTATATGTTGAACATACCTCCCCAACATATTCCATGACAAAACTCATTCTTTTAATCTTCACAAGGGTTTTTACACCCCAGCCACAGCCATTGCTAGTTCGAAAGATGCAAAGTGAATACTGGGTGCCTTTTTGTACAATCCTATTGGGACAATCGGGTCCACACTGACACCTCGAGTTGCATTCATAAATGGGGGTACCAGGTGGGATTTTAATTTGTTGGTTTTTATTATAAGCCAAAAGAACTCCAGCTTCAGCAGGACAACATTTCTCAAAGAAGCAATCTGTACACGAACAACCAAAGGTAGCTTCATTGACTAAGCTGATTCCAGGAGCTGGTTTGTATTCATTAATGTAGTAGAAGTCTGAAGGTGGGCCCTCTAAGTCAACAGTATTTTCAACAAATATCATTCCTTTATGATTCTTTCTTCTGTTGAGTTCGTCTTGCCATCTCTGCAGAGCTAGCCTCTGTTTAGCCTTCTTTACAATGTACTCGGCAATGGCAGGTTTCAAAGCTTTGTTATTGTCTTTTATTGCTTTGCCTTTCTTTACCTGAGATAAATAATTATGCTTGTCATTAGAAAACTGCTGGAGGAGTAATGGGCACTTGAGATTTTGCAAAGGTTCCCAAGTATTTGTAGAATCTGGCCATCCTTTCCATTTTACAAGATAATATTCCATATCCTTAAAATATAAAAGAAAATTGAAATTAGATGACAGTCCCCATTAAAATAATTCACTATCTTAAAGAGTTAAGGCAGCTGTTATCATTCTAAATAAAGTTCAGAATATATTAAGAGCCAGAGGTTTCTAGATGAACTACAAAACATAAAAAAATATAAAACCATTTTTTCTTTGTATTACATAAAATATATACAGAATTTAGTTGTAGCACAGTATGTTTGAGCATAGGTAAAAGAATTGCACCTGAAGACAAAAGTACTGAAACTCATGAAATTTTACCAAACAGTGATTGTTAAACAAAAAAAAAGTATTTTATCTTAATCATAGAAACAGGGAGTCTTCAAACTAACAATTTATGACCTAGGTTAGCACTTTACTTGGCCAGCACTGATGTAAGCATCCCCTGAGGTAGGTAATTTTAGTATTTCACACTGACAGAAGGCAAAGAAGGCAAACACTATTTCTCAGTATCATGGGCACACATCCCTTCGATGTTCTAGGGACATGACGTCCAATACAGTTATTCCTAGCTGCACGTAGCTATCAAGCACCTGAAATGTGGTGGGCCCAAACTGAGATGTGCTTTAAGTGTGTAGTACATACTGAGTTACAAATATCAAACACATACACAAAAAAGTAAAATATTTCTACACATGACACATATTGATTACATACTGAATTATTTTGATTTTACTAAATGTATTATTTTTTAAAGATTTATTTATTTGCTCATTTATTTATAGTAATCTATGCCCAATGTGGGGCTCAAACTCACAATCTTGATATCCAGAGTCCCATGCTCTACTGCCTGAGCCAGCTAGGTGTGCAATCTCACTTGTTTCATTTTACTTGTTTAATATGGTTACTAAAAAATTTAAAATGACATATATGTAGCTTCCATTGTTTTTATTAGACATCACGATTCCAGAGAATTCTCACCTTATTTAGACTCACCCATGAATGGATTAGGAAGCAGGCACTGAAGCCACCAAAGATCAAATATTTTGATTTATCCCTCAGACTGCTGTTGTGGCCACCATGGTACCTAGAATTTTGCCTTCTTACCCCAGTGACTTGACTCTGTTTTCTTTCCTTAAAATTGGGGAATGCCATGTTAAGTTTCTCTTAAAAAAGGTAGTCAAGTGTGCATAATAAAAAAAAACTTCGAGGGGCACCTGGGTGTCTCAGTGGGTTAAACATCCGACTCTTGATTTCGGCTCAGGTCATGATCTCAGGGTTGTGAGACTGAGCCCCGTGTCTGGCTACAAGCTGAAAGCAGAGCCTGCTGAAGATTCTCTCTCCCTCTGCCCTTCCCCCACCTGTGCTCTCTCACACTCTCTCTCAAAAATAAAACAAAAAATTCTGAAGTCCTTCAATTTTCTCTTTGTCCTCTGGAATATGTCCACACTCTAAAATATGAAAGTGATTAAATTGTATTCTCCAGTTTTTAGTTATTTTAAATCATCGATATGGATTAAATTTGCTTTTCCTTGAAATTTTTAACAAAGTTTTTACTATAAAAGGGTGCATACGACACTTGTTTTACTATCCATAATTTATTAATGCCAAATAACCTGGATGGCCTAGGAAATGTTGCAGAGGCACAAACTGGGGTGAGGACCACTGAGGCAGCTTTGCAGGAGCAAGTCGCTTAGCCAGTGAGTAAGCAAATTTTCTCCCCACTGAGTCGTTTCAATGTTTTATTACATTCTACTCGGTAAGCAATACTGCTGGTGAATTAAAAGAACTTTCCTTCTTATGAAAATGGTCAAAATATGCTTTACCTGTTTAAAAAAATGTGGTTAAAGTGTGAGGATATGCACAAAAACTGTACTTTCATGGAAATACATATTGTGATTTCAGGGAAAAAAGAAAAGCTTAGACATATATTTAAGTGTTAGTTGAACTGGCAAAGTGTAACACAGATTTCTCCCTCCTGCCAGGTAACTTTTACAATTTAGGATTTACGTTGGCAGATATCCGCTCGACAATGATGGGATCCACGTGGCAGTAGCTAACGTATATCTATTTTCCTTATTAATTAGGAAAGCTTTTAATTTTTCTGACTCCAGAATAAAGCAATGCAACTCTGGTCCTCTTTTTTTCCTACTACACTTTTTCCTACAATAACCCTGGAAGTTGTCAGCAAATGATGAAAGAAACAGAAACACTGGCTTCAAATCAGATGATTAAGCTCAATTATCATTCAGCAAAACTAGTAACACCATGCCACTGAAGTGGGCTCCAAATTAACATATTGTATTGTTTAATAATGAGCCAGATGCATTGTTAGTGATTAAGTTTTGCATGTTAATCACATTGATACTTACTTAATTTATAGATGGTAAAGATGTTTATAAAACAAAAGTGCCTTTGGCAAAATAGTAGAGAAATATTAGTGATATTTTATTTCTACTTCATACTTATTTTAGTAAGTATATTTTACTTTGCAATCCAAAAAAGATATTTGTTTTGAAGAACTGATAAATTTTACACAGAAAAATTAGTATGTATGGCTTAACAAATTTAATTCAATATGCTAAAGTTCCAAATAAAGCCCAAAAGTTCATTAAGCCTCATATATTGTATCAGTATCTTATTCTGACACGCAATCAACTCTTGATTACCCATAGAAATGGAGTACAGTTGTAAAAATGATACATAAATCACTCCTGTATAATTTAGAATGCATCATATGAATTTTTTCTTAAAGACATTTTCCCCCACTATGTTTGGCTTAGGTTAAATTCATTCAAGTATTTTAGTATTTAAAATAAGTATGTGCAAGTTCAGCCACCAGGGGGTATGATGAGACGTAAGGTAGTGCTAGCCTTTAGGAGTAAAAGCTCACTGGGAAAAGAAGGCAGTAATATGTCAAGTAAGTAGCAATGCAAGGCAGTACAATTATAATGCCAAAACAAGACAATAATTACCACTAGAATATAGAGAGGGAAATCAATATAGTCAGAGCACAGAGCAAACAGAACTAAACTGTGAAAGACTGATAGGATTTGTTGGGTAGGGAACAGGGCAGGCAGGATGAAAACCACCAGCAAAAACTAGGAGCTAAGATCTGTATGAAGTATTCAGAAAGCAGTGAAGAGATGGATTTGGCTAGCTTTAAAGTTCAGAATATTGAAGTGAGAGATTAAACTGTAATGGCAAGGTGAGAACAAATCTTAGCCTTGAATATTTGATGGAGGCATTTGAACTTTTTTTGTAGGCCAATAGTTTTTACAATTCTTAGAAAACATGGTGTTTCTGTGGGGAGTTTCATTACATACAAATACATTTGGTTTCCATCGTGTTTATTAGGAACAATTTATCAGTCTTCTCATTGCCAAGCCAAAGACTCTACAAGCCCTCATGTTACTTGACTTAGGCTTTGATACCACATTTCTCTCTTCACTATTGTTCCTTTTCTGCCTTCTCTGCTGAGACTATTGTCCCCGCCCATCACTTAGTGCAGATACTTGAGGCTCTGTCCTTGGCCCCTTTTCACACCAAGTAAGCGTTTGTCCCTTTTGAAAATCCGAAGAAAGCGATGGACCTTCCCCTAACAAAGTCACATATGCAATATTTTGGATAATTGAGGATATGTGGATTCCAGATTTAAGGTTAAGAATCCTTGCTCTAAATGCTCTCTGGGCAACCTCATCACTCCAACAGTTTTAATTACATGCTAATAACTCCCAAAATTTTTCCTGCACCTCCATATATCCAAGAGCCTACTGGATGCCCAACAGCTTCTTAAATCCATCTATTTCCATGGAACCCACCACTGTTCTTTCAAAATGGATTTTTTTCTTTTCCTCATCAAGGGTAATCTTATCATCTACCCAGTTGCAAACTAGGAGCTCAATCTAGATTGTTCTCAATCCATCATCAAGTTTCTTCAGATACTTGTTCTGTCCATCTCTTTACCATAGCTCTAGTTACTTAAGGTCTTCAATTCTTGCTGGGATTATTACATTAATCTCCTAACTGGTTTCTCTGCCTCCAGACTGACAACATCCCAATTTATCATTACTGAAGTTTTCTTACAAAAATAAGAAATCCACAGTACCAGTCATTCTGTTACTTTCTTCCTTAAAAATTTTATTTGCTCCTCCACTGCCTCAAGAATGAAGTTCACACTTCCTATTATAGCAAAGAAGATCATTCTTGACTGAGTCCCTGATATCTGACAGTCTTCCATTATAACCCCATTTACATACCACCCTCTAGCCATACTAACTGCAGCTAGTACTTGAACATGCCAGTCCTCTTCACCCCTTTCTGCTTTGTTCACAAAGTTCTGATTACAATGACCTCTTCCATTTCCATAATGAGCGTATTTTGGTTTCATTTTTTATGTGTAGAAAAATCTACTCATCTTTAGAAGTCAGCTCAAATGTCCCCCTGTCCCTGCCCATGAAGTCTTTCCTTCCTCTCTTGCCCAAGAAGAACTGATCACTGCCAATCTCCTTGTGTTTCCATTTCTAATCTTAACCAGAAACTATGAGGGATGAAATCTTCTTCGTAGCCACAGAACCAAGCACAATTGCTTGCTGTATCTTAAGCTCTATTAAATGTTTCCGAATGCATAACAAAAAGTAGGACTATCAACATGTATGCAATTAAAAAAAATCACAACAGTAACTATATATGAATCTTTAAAAGAAATAAAAGCTGCTAAATTTAATCTGGGTTGTTTTTCAAATGTATATACTGGAGGGCAAAAAACAAAAGCTATCCTCCCATTAGCTACTTTCTTCTGCAAGTTTTGAAATCATCATATTCAATGTTAGTGGTAGAATAGCCTGAGTCTAATTATGAAAACACTAGTGTTCCATGGAAACTCAGTGGCTTTTCATGCCAGTAACTGACCAAGTAGCAATTCTCAGACCTGGGTTAGTGGTCGAAGACGGACACAACTGAGCAACACAACCCTGGAAAAGTCCTTTCCTGGAGATTTGTTTTCCTGATCTCCAAAATATGGGTTTTAGTCAAATGATTTC